TTAAACAGGGTTAATTGTGCCTTATAGGGTTGTTTTGGATAATAAATGAGTTAATACGTGTAAAACACTGTTAGCTGTTCTTATAGTGGACCCTTAAGCAACGTGGAGGTCAGGGGCGCCCACTTGCCCCGCAGTAGAAAATCCACATATAGCTACTTGTACTGCGTCGGTCCCCCAAGAGAATACGCCACCTATTGCCTCACTACACCTACAGAGGGGTTCAGCGAGGCGACCACAGAGGTGGGGAAACCTCCAAGCTTGCTAGAAAGAACGCGGCTAGAACCGCTGTTCCCTTGGAGAGCGACTAGGTGTGACGCGCTTCCGGCCTTTGTGATTGATCTTTCTGTGGGCTGCGGTTGTCAAGGACTGAGGTGGAGCGTTCTGGGCTGGCGAACCTCTGTTCCCACGGAGACCCGGTGAGCCTCGGAGTCGCGCTCTGGAGGAGGGCCTCTGAAAGGTCGGGTCCGTGCGCTGCGTCCCCGGACTGGGTGTGGGGAGTGAGCAGCAAGGGCTTTTTGGCTCAAGCTTTGGCGGGACAGCTGAGGGGAGAGGAGGCTGCCCCGCAACCTGGAAGGGCCTCGTGAATTAGAAATCGGCGTCCTTGCCCCCACCGCAGCCCCTCAGTCTGTTTCTGAGCTCTTCATCCACTCCGCCTGAGTGACAGTGCCTCTTTGAACTCTGGCTCTCCGAATCTTAGGATAAGAATAGATACAGATACCGAGGAATGTTTGTATTTTCCAACGTCTGTCATTTTCTACTGATGCCTTATTTTAGACAATGAACAAAGATAGTTTTATAATATGCTACAGCCTCCTAGTGTGATTCACATAGTGCAAAAGGCTCTTCTCATCTGTTGATTTTATTTTTCAAACTAATATTTAAATAGCACTTACGTGCCAAGCAGTCACTGTTCAAAGCACTTTCCAACTAGAAACTTACTTACGTCTCATAACTATATGATATAGGCACTGTTATTTTGTAACCTTCCCCGCCCCACTTTAACATCAAGAAGAAAATGAGGGTAAGTAACTTGCTCAGAGTAATACAGTTGGTAAGGCGTGTAGTCAGGATTCAGATCCAGGCAGTTTGGCTCAGAGTCTATTTTTTAAACCCTTTGCTATGCAAATTATGCTTTTTCTGTATTGGCTTTACAGCCACAACCCAGGAAGTTACTTCTCTCGTTTGACTCTGATCCTACTCCTTTTGGACCTCAGTAGCCCTGGCCCTCTAGTTAGGATTTAAGATTAGAGAGAAGTATATACCCAAAGACATGCATATCTGTCTGCAAATCTGATGAAACAGCCATTTTATTTGTACACATTTCCCCACCACTCACCCATGTTGTGCTGTGGGCAATAGAAAAGATTACAGTCTTGGTGCTAAGGGGTAGGTAGCAGGTATTGATTAAGCCACCTTGAACCAAAAATTGTACATTATCTCATTAAGAGGTGGTTAATTTGCATGTTTATTATGTGCCAAGCTTTGTGCAAAACCCCTTTATATGCATTATCTCGTCTATTAATAATACTCTCTACAACTCCACAAGGAAGTTATCCTCATTTCATACATGAGGAGATTGAGGCTCAGAAAAATGAACTAAGTAACTTGTCCAAGATCATATTGTTAGTAGGTCAGAATTTGCAAGTATTGTAAAAGGCGAAAGATTTATACGATCTGAAGAGAAACCAGAGTATACAACTATTGTAGATCTGCCTATGTTTTCTGCTACCTCATAGTATCTTCTACTTATCTCAGATAAATAGGAAAAATATGGGCTGTGTTGCGTGCGCGTGCACACGCGTGCGTGCGTGCGTGTGTGTGTGTGTGTGTGTGTGTGTGAGATTGCAGACGCATAGACAGTGTCTGAAAGGATACATTCTAATCTTTAACAGCATCCATTTTTTTGGAGTAGAACTTGGTGAGGGAATTATTCTTCTGTACTTTTTGGATTTTTAAAAAAAATATGAGCAGTAACTGCAAGATAGATTGTGACTGAGGGTAAAAGTTGGGGCACATGATATGAACTGGAAGGAGGAAGGGGGGGGCCTGGAATGGCTGAGGAAGACTTTAGAGAGGATGTGAGATTAGAATCAAGCTGCAGAGATTGGGTAGGGCTTGAATAAGTGCAGAAGGCAAGAGCAAAGACATGGAACTAAAGAACAGAAGAAAAACCCAGGTGGCGCTGGCAGTGTTTGCATGGACTAGGGGGAAGCGAGAGTGGGGCCAGGTGGTGGGAGCTAGAGGTCTGATTGGTCTTGAGCCAGGCTTGAGAGATTGGGAATTCATCCAGTAAGTAATGGGGAGGCCATAGATGGTGATGGCAGAGGTGAGAGTGGGGATAAGTATAATAAGGCACATTTGCACAGTGTGCTGCTTAGTCTTCACCTACATGCATTTCTTTGGTAAAGAGCGTCCCTCTACAAGAATGATGGTAGATTTAGGGGTGTTGAGCTTGCTGAGGCTCTAGGAGAAATCAGCTTTAAAATACAGATATATTTTTTAAGGTGGAAGAGATTATTGTGCTAATTATATAATTGACATATACGATAGAGTGGTGATCCTGAATAAAAGATTAATAACTGTATGTTTGTGACCAGGAGGGCAGGGTTATAAGACACTTGGGAAGCCGTTAGAGACACTGCGTTCAAAGAATTAAGATGTCCTGCTGGTGTGAGGCCATGGGTATTCAGGCCACCAGGTAAAAGAAAAATCAGGGAAAGGAAAGCAAAAGGACCCTGGCATATACAGAGAATAGGGGAAAATTAATCTTAGTGAAACTGAGTAAAGATTTGAAACACCATATATCAGAAGTGTTTTTCTTTGGGCAGAGCTCAAAACTTGAGCTTCCTCATCAGTGAACAGAAAACCTTTGACTCAAAACCTAGGTGCATAGGCAACAAATAGGAAAAATACATTTTTTTCAAGGTCCTAAAAGGTTGAAAAAGAGCATGAGTGCCTGTTAAACCCTTTGAACTCATGTTGAGTGAATTGAATAATGTGAGAGCACATATTCTCAATTTACCTATTGGATACCTGCACCCCAAAACTCGACATCCCTAGAATAAAACTCAGCCAACCATGGTTCAAAACACCATCATTTCTTCCCTAGATTATTGCCATAGCTTTTCACTCTGCTTTCACTTTTCCCCATGCTCTGTTATCACAGCAGCTAGTTATTATTAGTTTTCATATTAAATGTAAGTAACAATTTGTCACCCCTCTGCTGCAAACCTCTCCTGGCTTTCCCCATCTCCTGGAGTACAAGACAGAGCCCCTACAATGGCTTTCGTGAGCTGCTCCCAGCCTCACTTCTCTCCTAGCACTGTCTCTTTTGCTTTCTCTGTTCCAGGCACATTGTTCAACTAGCTGTTCCTTGAAGAATCCTGGCCGTTTCCTACCTCCAAGAACTCAATGTTCCCTTTGCATGGAATAGTCTTTTTCCAGATCATCTTGTACTTGCTCCTCACTTCCTCCAGATCTTGCTCAAATATTAGCTTATCAACAAGGCCTTCTCTCTCTGCCCCACATAAAATAGAAACCTTTCTTCCTCCTTTCTATCTCCTTCACCTTTATTTTTCTCTATAGCATTTATTAGCACTTGACATATATTTAATTACTGTCTGTCCCCTGTGGGCCCCTTTCCTCATCCTGTCCCCTTCTTCCCCCCACATAGAGGAGAGAGAGTAGTGTAATGGTTGAGACTATGAGTTCTGAAGTTAGATTTCCTGGGTTTGAATTGCACTTGCTACCTGTGAAACCTTGGGCAAGTGACTCTGTGCCTCAGTTTTCTTATCTGTAATAGGATAATAATAATACCTTACTCATGGTTATTTTGAGGATCAAATGAGTTAACATATGTAAAGCACCTAGAACAATGTCTGATACCTTAAAGCCACTATAAATATCAGCTATTATTAATATTGTTATTAGATTGTAAATTGCATGAGACTAGGCACTTTCTTAGTTTGCAGCTTATCTACTGTGCCTAGAACAGTACTTGGAATATGGTAAGCTCTGAATAAATATTAGCTAAATGAATGAGTGTTGTATGAAGAGAAACATAATGTGGTGGTCACAGTGGTAGTGAGTTGGCGCCAAGAAAAACTGGAGGAAAAAACATGAACTTAGGGATCCTGGATTTGGAGGGAAACCCTTCTCCATTCTTCCCGGAGTGGTGACTATAGAAGTCAACCAAGCCAAAGATGTTAGAAATTTGTGGAGCGGATTATATTTTCAGGTTACCCAGGAGGATGCTGCCCCACCTCAGAGTTTTTTTTCTCCTTGATAAATATAACCAGTAGTGGCAGTATGAATTTATCTTTTCTTCTAGTTGTAGTGTAATCAGTGTTCACTTGTAATTTAAATACCTTATTCTTAGTTTTTAAAATTTTGCAATGCCTGCCAATACCTAAGAGTAGCGTAGGGTTATTTTTACAGTGAATTACAATAATTTTACTTAAAATTAAAAGACATTTACAGGTTATGATCCATTATGTGAGTCATGAAACCTATGTGTTGGGCTATGACCAGGGTTTTTGTTTTTTTGGGTGTTTTTTTAAATAGGATTAAAAACAATAGTGTATATCACATAAAGTAACGATACCTAGTGTTCTGTGAAATTATTATTTCAGTTATTTGTGTGTGTGTGTGTGTGTGTGTGTGTGTGTGTATGTATATCTAATTCATGCACATTCATTCATATGCATGTGCATGCCTATTCTGGCCTTCATATAAGGTATTTGTTGCTGATGGTCCTGGTCAAAAAAGTTTGAAAACCTCTGTCCCAAAATGGCGCTTGGAAATCAGTAGATCACATAATTATTTTTCTTACAGAAAATTGCCTTTATTAATTACTATCCTAGTTAAGATTGTTTATACGCTTAAAGTGGTCATAGACATTTGTTTTTATTAACACTCATTTTATTTTACATACAGTCACTCACTTTCCATCCTCAAAGAGTTTTAAAGAAAAATAATTTCCAAGAAATTAAAGGGTAAGAAAGAGCTCAAACTCTACCCCTGTTTTAAAATATTAGAATTATTGTAATATGTCTTTCAATTTTAATACCTGTGAGCTACGATCACCCCAGTTGACTATTTTCTGATTTTTCTGCCATAGGGTTGATATCACTAGGATACTTCGTTTAATATTTTTATAAAACGTGTAAGAAAAATAACAATAGTGGTAACTTACAGTACTTTAGAGTTTACCAAGCTTCCAGCTTCTTGTGCTCTTTATCCATGGTCTTATTTTATCTTTATATCAACCTAGAAAGATAGGCAAGTTTGGCTTTATGATTGCTATTTTACAGATTGAGTAGACTAAGCCTCAAAAGGTGAAGCCCAAGCCTTCAGAAGGTGTACCTGTCACATCATGTCTCAAGCCCAGATTTTCCCCACTCCAAACATAGATGTTTCCTCCATACTCACCTGATTCGAGGAACTCTACCTCTCCTTTGAAGTGCATTTCCTTTGTTCCTCCTTATGTCTTTTTATCTCCTTTACTTTCTCTCCCTCCTCCATTTTGCTTCCCTTTTTTCATTGATTCTTACTGTCATTTGTGACCACTTGGGACCAAAGTGCTTGTTTACCTCCATTCAACAAAAAACTTACTATTAGTCTAGCCTCTTGCCATTCAAATGGAAACCCAATATATTCCAGCTGATTTATTTGAGCTGATTCATTCAGGATGATCAAAATGGTCCCTTCCTTCAGTAAAACTGTGTGGGGGGAAGGGGGGTCATTTCTGTTTTCCTTCCTGTATTGCCTGCATCAGCATGGTGTAGTCCTCATGCAATTAGTGCTCTTCATTAGGCAGGGTGACTGATTTTGGTATAAATTTACCTGCCAGCAGGAAAGATTTTTCTAAATTTTAATAATGTTTTCTCTGCAAATTATTTTTTAGTTTTTGGGATTTCCAGAAGAAAAGATCAAGGGGGAATTATCAAGAATAAATTTTTTTTCTGAGTAGTTAAGCCTAAAATGACCACAACCTTGGCCCTTCAGACTCCAGAGATGCAGGAGGGACTTCTGTCAGTGAAAGTAAAAGAGGAAGAGGAAGACCATACCTGTGGGCAAGAATCTGGCCTATCAAGAGATAACCCTCATACCAGAGAGATCTTTGGTAAACGTTTCAGGCAGTTCTGCTATCAGGAGACACCTGGGCCCCGAGAGGCTCTTGGAAGACTCCGGGAGCTCTGCCATCAGTGGCTGAGACCAGAGATGCACACCAAAGAGCAGATCCTGGAGCTGCTGGTGCTGGAGCAGTTCCTGAGCATCCTGCCTGAGGAGCTCCAGGCCTGGGTGAGAGACCACCACCCAGTGAGTGGGGAAGAGGCAGTGACTGTACTGGAGGATTTGGAGAGAGAGCTGGATGAACCAGGAGAGCAGGTGGGAAGATGGGAGAACAAAGGTTTGTACCTATAGGATCAAATATGGGGTTTTAGTGCGGAGAAAGAGGAGGAGGCTTTCTTTATGTCTGATTTAATCTGTTGTGGGCTTTTAATCTCTGTGTTTTTTTGTTTTGTTTTGTTTTGTTTTTTACCAGTTTCTCTGTCCTTTTCCTATCCAGTGGCTCTGAGAAGGCCTTCTTGCAATGTCTTCAGTGATATTTGATTCCCAACTGTCCTTAATTTCCACCAGGTCCCAACCCATCCTGAGGAACAGGAACAGTTTGTGAAGGACAAAGCAACTCTAGGACCAACCCAGAAATCGTCAGTTGGCCAGCTCCAAACCTTGGAAGAGCAGTGTCAGTGTAACTTGCGAGAGGTGTGCCTGGTTCAGGACATTGGTGAGGATGAGCATTTTCTCTGGAAGCCTAACTTATTGCCTCAGTGTTCATTAATTCAGTACATTTATTTAGTGTCAACACATTTATTTATGTGCCAGGCACTGTGCTAGGTCCTGGGGCTACAGTGATGAGCAAGGTAGACATGGTCCCTACCCTTATGAAGTTTGCAATCTTGTAGGAGACACAGTTGTAATATAATGCATCTTCTCCCTGAGGTGTGGGTATAATTGCTAGAGTGGGAAAGTCAACAAAAGACGTGGTCGCTTTTGTCCTTCCACACATTCTCTTTGCCAGTTTTTTTCTTTAGAAACATAACATTCATGTGATCCATTTATTATTTCAGATAATGAGGCTGGGACTTGGAATGAGCTTTCCAAAGAAATGAAATCACTTATGGAATTACCTGGAAAATTGAATGGGGATATTATTCAGATGCCTGAAAGTGGAGACACCTGTGACCATGAGGGCAGATTGGAAAAGCAACGGGTAAGCTCTTCAGTGGAGAGACCCTATATCTGTGGTGAATGTGGAAAAAGCTTCACTCAGAATTCCATCCTTATCGAGCACCAGAGAACACACACAGGCGAGAAGCCCTATGAATGTGATGAGTGCGGGCGGGCCTTCAGCCAGCGGTCAGGCCTGTTCCAGCACCAGAGACTGCACACGGGGGAGAAGCTCTACCACTGCAACACTTGTGGCAAAGCCTTCAGCCAGAATGCTGGGCTTTTCCATCATCTCAGGATCCACACTGGGGTAAAACCTTACCAGTGCAGTCAGTGCAATAAGAGCTTTAGTCGACGTTCTGTCCTCATTAAACATCAGAGAATTCACACTGGAGAAAGACCTTATGAATGTGAAGAATGTGGCAAGAACTTCATTTACCAGTGCAACCTCATCCAGCATCGAAAAGTCCACCCTGTGGCAGGATCCCGCTAGCTCCTTAGAACAGGTAGGACAAAATTTCATGAGGTGAGATCACAAGGCACGGTAGCAAGGTTGGTTCTTTCTTTGTCCCTGAGAGAACACTAATAATAGCTTACTCCTCTAGTATAGCAAGCTCCAAGGGAAACCAGTGAAAATTTCCTTTTTTTTTTTTTTTTCAAATTTTTTTAAAATTAAAATTTATTGGGTGACAGTGGTTTCAAGTGTACAATTCTGTAATACATCATCTATGTATTGCATTATGTGTTCATCACCCAGAGTCAGTTCTTTTTCCATCACTATATATTAGACCCCCTTTACCCTCTTCTGTTCCCCTTGACCCTCTGGTAACCACTAAACTGTTGTCTGTGTCTATGACTATTTGTTTCTTTATTTGCTTGTCTTGTTCCTGTGTTGCCTTCAGGTTTTTTGTTTTTGTTTTTTCTTTTTATTATTATTATTATTATTATTTTCAGGTATACAAAACAATGTAATAGTTAGACATTTCATCCCTCATAGCAGTAAAATCATATGGTTCTTGACTTTTTCTGTCTGACTTATTTCACTTAGCATAGTAATCTCAAGATCCATCCATGTTGTCACAAATGGCAGTATTTCATCTTTTCTTATGGCAGAGTAATATTCCATTGTGTACGTATACCACATCTTCTTTATCCAGTCATCTGGTGAAGGACACTGGTTGTTTCCATGTCTTGGCCACTGTAAATAATACTGCAGTGAACATCGGAGCACATATATCTTTACAGATAAATGTTCTCAGATTTTTTTGGGTAGATATCCAGGATAGAGATTGCTGGGTCATATGGCAATTCTATTTTTATTTTTTTGAGGAATATCCATACTGTTTTCCATAGTGGCTGTACCAATTTACATTTCCATCAACAGTGTATGAGGGTCCCTTTTTCTCCACAGCCTCTCCAACACTTGTTACTATTTGTCTTGTTGATAATAGCCATTCTAACAGGTGTGAGGTGATAGCTCATTGTGATTTTGATTTGCATTTCTCTAATAACTAGTGAAGTTAAGCATTTTTCTATATATCTGTTGGCCGTTTGTATGTCTTCTTGGGAGAAGTTTTTGTTCATGTCCTCTCCCCATTTTGTAATTGGATTGTTTGTCTTTTTGTTGTTGAGTTGTATGAGTTCCTTATATATTTTGGATATTAGCCTCTTATTGGAGGTATTTGCAAATACCCTTTCCCATTCGGTTGGTTGCCTCTTTGTTTTGTCGAGGTTTCTTATGCTGTGCAGAAGCTTTTTAGTTTAATATAGTCTCATTTATTTATTTTAACTTTTACTTCCCTTGCCTTTGAGGTCAAATTCATAAAATCCTCTTAGAACCCAATGTTTATAAGTTTAGTACCTATACTTTCTTCTGTGCAGTTTATTGTTTCAGGTCTTATATTTAGGTCTTTGATCCATTTTGAGTTAATTTTGGTATATGGTGACAGATAGCAGTCTAGTTTCATTCTTTTGCACATGGCTTTCCAATTTCCCCAGCATCATTTATTGAAGAGGCTTTTCTCCATTGTATGTTTTTGGCTCCTTTGTGGAAAATTATCTGTCCATATTTATGTGGGTTTATTTCTGGGTGTTCAGTTCTATTCTATTGGTCTGTGTGTCTGTTTTTCTGACAATATCATGCTGTTTTGATTATTGTAGCTCTGTAGTACAAGCTGAAGTCAGGGAGTGTGATACTGTCAGCCTTATTCTTTTTTCTTAGGATTATTTTGGCTATTCGGGGTCTTTTGTGATTCCATATAAATCTTATGATTAAAATTTCCTTATTTTTAATGCTAAGAGAAGCGTAACAATATCTTAAATACATCTGTCAAATTCTCTGTGGTTAGTGACATCCATAGCTTTGCAATACTGAATAGTTTCACATAGACCTGAATAAAATGTTTTCTAGGTGTACTTCAGAAAAACTTCATCCTAGTAAAAAAACAAACGAACAAAACTTTAAAAAACATTAAAAAAAATTATATGCAACCTGAATACAAAATAATGGCAAAAGGGGTAGTTTACTGAGTTAAAAAAAATTAATTTAAAAATAATCTCTGCAAAGTCTGTAATGTAAACTATTTGACTACAGGCATACCTAAGAAATATTTTGGGTTTTGTTCCATACCACTGCAATAAAGTGAGTCATAATATTTTTGCTGGTGGGGAGGTCTTGCCTTCAATTTGTAAAAAAACCATAATACCTGTCACAGTAAAGCGAAGTGCAATAAAATGAGGTATGCCTATTTTTCCATTCTCATAAGTTAGTGTGCTTTTTAACCTACAAAAGGGGGCAGATGAATCCTCCTATAAATATACACAGGTCTTCTCCCTATAGAGTTTTAGTAACTCAGCCTTCAATTAGGAACCAATGAATTGAAGTAATCATATATGATTGGTAGTTCAGTGGCTAGTCATAACAGATATTGCTAATGATTTTTAATTTGTGGAAAGGCTAAGAAGCTTAGCTAAAAATCTGATATCTCACTTCAGATCTTTGTTATGAAATGTTTTCCTGTATGAGCATTTTTGGGTTTTCCTTATTTTCTTCTTTATTTAACCTTTTGTTATGGAAAATTTTAAACATAATAAAAAAGAGAGAAAACTATGATCAATGTTCCGTGTTGATTGCTTTTTATAACCTCCATACTTCTCAGCATTACCTATTGATTACCACCAGTCATACATACAATAGTTTCTTTCTCTTAACACTGATGGAGTGTTTACCAAGCTTTTATACAAACTTTTTTACAGGAGGCAAAGAAATGTGAAATCTGTGGTGATAATTTGGATTGGAATACAAAATACACAGCTGGTAACTCAAGAATAGTAGAAACATGGTAAGGCACCTCAGAGGTCACTTCCGCATGCCCTTATTTGACAGATATGAAAATGAAGGCTCTGAGAAATAACTGTGTAAGATCATACAGCTAGTTAATCGAGCTGGAACTAGAACCCTGTCTCCTAACTTCTAGTGCACTTCTCTTTCTACTAAGGCACTGGAAGCTTAGTACTTAGCTGAATTCGATCATCAAATAGAAATTATGAGTATATGGACCTTACAGGATTTATAAGTCATTGAAGTTTGCTTTTTTTAGCTCAACAAGTCCTATATATATGTTTCAATAAATGCACAGCTCCTCTAATTTACAGCAGAGTTACAGGATAGACTTCTCACTATCCCTCATTTGAGGCATTTTATTAATTTTTGTAGTGCTCATTTTTATTTTTTTTATTTTTTATTTTTTTATTTTATTTTTTTTTTTAAGATTTTTATTGGGGAATTGGGGGGATGGGAACAGTGCTGGGGAATTGGGGGAAGGGGAACAGACAAGTTGCTGTCGTTTTGTTCTTCAGTCTAGTTGTGGAGGATGTTGCTTCACTGGCCCAAGTTGGCACCATCATTGCACTCTTCTCTGGCGAGGCAGATCAGTCGCCGGCTTCTGGACGGCCGCTCACTGCGGCTGCTGGCTGCTCACGCTGGCTGCTGGCCACACACGGTAGCCCATGGCAATCCACTGCCACAGGGGCTGCAGCCTATGCCGTCGCCGGCGACTCATGGCAGCCCAGCTCCAGGTTGAGCTGTTGTTCAGCATCTCAGCTGTGGAGGGCAGTGTCACTGGCCCTCATATGTGGGATCCGAACCGGGGCCCTCTGGCGTCCCAAAGCCAGTTCTTAACCATCGCGCCACTCGGCCGGCCCTGGTGTTTGTTTTTATAACTTCTCAAATATTCTCATTTTTCTCAACAACTAGTAAAACAAAAGGTGTTATATACTGGGGGTGCCAAAAACATGTATAAACATGACTTGTATTCATCTTTTGTTGTCGGTATATATTGAGTATTACAATTTTAATACAGTATTTTTCCTTTCTTAAAATGTATATACATTTTTTTGGCACCCTCAGTATATGTTGTATGTTGTAGAGACAGATATGTCACTTAGAATGCAATGATTAACATATGATTGAAATGACTCACAGTTCACCAAACTAACTTTGTTTTCTGATACTAATTGTACTAATTCTCTTATGCTAACACTTTAGCATAAGTGCACATCCCTCATTAGTTAAGAAATAATACTTGATTGAACCTATAGGCAATGGCATGCAGACCTTGGCTTCTTTAGTGATTATTTCAGTTTTCCTGGCCAGAAGTTCTTAGTTGTTTCTCTCACATTTCTAAATTTCCCTCACTGTTCTCTCTTCTCTTTCCATCCTGGCTCCTTTTATTCATCCCATGAAGTCATTAGCCTTGATGTCCTTCCAGGTGTTCTCCGGACAAATATCCCTCCCTAACCCCGTCTAAAAGAGTAGAATAGTCAAAGACTTATGACTGAGCAAAGTATAAGAAAAATTGATTCAAATCTAATTAAATAGGCTTATTTGTTCTTAAGAATACTCCAGCACATTTTTTAAGTACTGTAAGGACAGTGGATACTATGTATGAAGAAATGTCTGTGAATCTTGCAGCCAAAACCCACCTAGAGTTGTTGATGGAACCCTGAAGATGCTCTTGCACTATAATTTTGATTCGAAGGCCAAGACTCCAGGACAGCAGTTCTCAACCTTCCTAATGCCATGACCCCTTAATACAGTTCCTCATGTTGTGGTGACCCCCCAACCATAAAATTATTTTCGTTGCTACTCTATAACTGTAATTTTGTTACTGTTATGAATCGTAATGTAAATATCTTTTTGTTTTCCGATGGTCTTAGGCGACCTCTGTGAAAGGGTCGTTCGACCCCCAAAGGGGTCGCGACCCACAGGTTGAGAACCGCTGCTCCAGGAGAATAAGTCTCTCTCTGTCTATATTTTGTAGGAAATGACTCCTATAATTTCACTACAGTATTTTTCCTTTTAAAAAAACATAATTATAACTTATAGTGGAAAATTGTTTTATATTTTTCCAATAAGACAAAAATTATCCCTGAGATTTTAAAATAAAAGTATATGTAAAGTCAAAATTATTATAAAATATGAAGTATTTTTGTACAGAAT